CCCAGCCTGGGCAACTGAGCAACTTAGGAAGGCCCTGTCTCATAATAAAAAAAGGGGCTGGGGATGTAGTTTACTGCAAAGGCTCTGGGTTCCATCTCCAATACTTAAAAAAAGAAAAAGTTCACGAGAACAAAAAGCAAGGCTTATCTAGCATGGTTCGCAGAAAGGAGACAGGCATAGGAGCATCGTGGCAGGGAGGACAGGGACAGAGCAGGGGCCGTGGAGTCTCTGCCCGGGCGCAGGAGCAGAGCTGCTATTGCAGGCTTCTGCAGGTTTCCACGCCCAGACCCTCTGCTTATGCCAGGAGGAGAAAAGAGAAAGTTGTTCATATGCATTTCTTTTACACACAAGTTCAGTGCTTCTGCGAACGTCACCTGGACTCCAGGGCTGTTCCTCCCAGGCACTTGTGGCAAGCCACACAGGTGTCCCTGAGCCCTGGGAGGATGTAATTAGCAGTAGGCTCTGTGACAGGCCACGTCCCTTGGAGACAGGGCCCTGTGACTTGACTCACCACGAGGCGCTCCTCAAGATGGCTCAGAGGATAGGAGCATTAACAAGCGACAGGACACCCACCTGCACAGCTGTCAATCACTTCACCTGCAGGTCAGAGGTCACAGTGAGCACAGCTCCAAGTGCCTTAAGCTCTGTGGCCGACTGGAGACGAGATCACACGAACCCCAGCTGTGGGATCCCCAAACAAGAAGACCAAGGAAGAACGGCACGCCTCAGGTCCCAAAGGCAGCAGTCACGGGGCAGAGCCCAAACCAGCACACTGCAGAGGCCACCCCGGCAGGCAGCCAGAGTTAATCAGAAGTCCGAATCCACCAGCCACACCAGGCAGGGCTGCTGTCCCGAGCCCAGCCCAAAGCCTGGCCCTGCTGCACGTCTGGCTGCGTACAGGCTTGTTTTTCAAGTTGGCCAGTCCTCCCTGCAGACCTCCCCACTGCAGCAATGTCACAATCCTGGTGTGATGTCAAAACTGCTCGGAGGGCGGTGAACTCTGCCCTCTCATGAGTCAACAGGGGGCGGCTCTCCTCGAGCTGCGCTGTTTACACACTGTGTAAGACCCGCCACAGCCAAGGCCAGATGCATGGGCAAGGGTCACAGTGCCCAGCAGGCTGGGCCCCAGCTTGCACTCGCCCTGCCCAGCTCCCAGCCTAGGCCCAGCCCCAAAGGACCCCCCCAGTGCCCACCAGGAAACGTGCAAGCTGAGGAGAGGCACAGGCTGCCACATCCCGGCCTGATGCCCGGCTGCTCACGCCCCAGCCAGGAGGTCTTGCACAGTGACTCAGCCTCCCCAGCCAACGCCGCGTCCTCACCTGCCATGGGCTGATGGGGACAGAAGGGCCTGACTGGGGCAGCACAGCCCAGGGCAGACCTGCTTACCGCTGGAGGTGGTTGCCCATCACCTCCTGGCTTTCTCAGGGACAGGGCACAGCTCAGACACGGCCACTGACTGGAGGAATCTGTGTCACAATGTTTGGGGCCAGAGTGCCCGTGTTTCACTAGTTCTTGGGCGTGCAGCATGACTCCCTTTCAGAGCTGGGCCCCGCATGCCGCCTCTCCCGCTGAACACAAGATCGGGCACTGGAGGGGGAGTCTGGGACAGTGAGGGTGGTGACACTGCCTCAAGCCTCAGCTGTCCCCCTCATAAGCCAGCCTCCCCCTGTACTATCAAGGGGCCATGTGCTTGAGGGGTGAGGGCAGAGGAAGTGAGCCTGGCACCGCGGGGAGAGCTCAGGCTAAACAGGGCCACCCCTGACACCGGTGCCCAGGTTGCTGTCCACACAGCAGCCCCAGCTCAGCTCTGGGCGCCACAGCAGCCAAGAACCACAGCAGCCAGCCCCAGGCGCCTGGCCCCCTCACACCTGGACAGCTCCCTGCAGTCCTCTCCCGCATCACCCCACCTAGCCTGTGCATGAAGACCACAAGGCTGTCACCTCCCCACCCCACCCCCTGCGTGCCTCACTGTCACCTCCCCCTTTCATTTCCCTTCCAGCACTGACCCTCGGAGCCCACCCAAACCCCAAGACGAAACAGCCCAGGCCGTGGAGTCAGTTGTCCTGGCTGGGCCACTTCCTTGGGAGGTCAGGGGATACTTCCCCAAGCAGACAAGTGACAGTCCTGGGAAGATGAGCTGTACCCGCCCCTCCTTCTCTCCTGGCCCAGAGGGGCAGTGACCTGCACACAGCACCCCTCGCACACTGCTCCACCCTGACCTGGCCACCCCAGCTTCCACCTCAGGGGCAGGTCAAAAGAGAGCCCCTCCTGGGAGAGAAGCCACCATGGCTCCCAGGAGCCAAGACAAAGTGCCACAGCAGAGGGATCTCCATTCCAACACCTGTCCTCACTTGAATTCATAAAAGCATCTTTCAATTAAAATGCTACAGTAAGGGCCGGGGATTTAGCTCAGTGGTTTCGTCACCTGCTGCGCAAGCGTAAGGACCTGAGTTCGATCCCTGGCACCAAAAAAAAAAAAAAAAAGCTACAGTAAGCCAAGCACAGTGGCACATGCCCATAAACCCAGAACTCTGGGAGGCTGATGCAGGAGGATGGCAAGTTTGAGTTTCACCTGAGCAACATAGCAAGACCCTGTCTTAATTTTTTTTTTTGGTACCGGGAATCGAACTCGGGTCCTTGGCTTGCGAGGCAGGCAGTGGAACCACTGAGCTAAATCCCCGGCCCTGTCTCAAATTTTTTTAAAAGGGTTGGGGATGTGGCACAGTGATAGACGGTCCCTGAGTTCAATACCCAGTACCACAGATATATGTATACACATATACACATATATACACACACATATATGTACATATATACATATATACACACCCACACACACACACACATATATATATAGAAAGAGAGAGAGAGAGAGAGAGAGAACTCCATCCACAGGGCCAGAAAACAGAAAACTTGCTGCTGGTTGGCAGAATTGAGCACATGAGGTTTTGCTAAGAGCCAGTACACCTCTCTGGTTACCCAAGTGCTTCCAGTGGTCTTAATGCCCACCACCCAAAACCACGCTGCATTAAGGCTAGTCCTGCCAAGGGTCTCAGTTCAGTGGACAGCACTGCTCACTGGGCAAGACTAAGTACCATTAAATGCCATGCCACTTTGTTGACCGGTCAGGCAGCTTTTGAAAAACGCACAAGTCTGGATGGCCCCCAAATACAAGCCAGCCAGCCAGGCTGCTGTGGGCAGCTTGGAGTCTCTCCTTTGAGGGAGCCTGTCCTGGATGGGCTACATGCTGCTGTCCACAGCTGGGCTCGGAAAGGACATGCTCAGGTCTGCTGCCACCTTTCCCCTACACAAGGAAGACCCAGCCTAGTGAGGGGATGTAACCCACACCCGAAATTAAAAATAGCAGCATGATGGCACGAGGTGGCCGCACAGGCAGGCCCTTCCGGAGGGTGTGAGGGAGGGCGCTCTGGAGAGGAGGGCGGGGCTCCTGGTCCCAGTGCAGAGGAGGAAGCCAGGTGAGGAGCTCACCTTATTTATGCCACAGGCACGCTCACCCGGGCTGTTTCTGGGAAGGCCGCCTTCCATCAGGATAAGTCAGAATCGCCCAGGGGAAACAACTCCAGGCTGGACTTCCACCAGGAAGAGTGGCTTGGTTGGTCATCAGACAGCTACCACCACCCCCTCCACCACCAGCCCCGTATCTCGGTCGTCTGCTCCTCCTCACCTGCAGGGGCGCCTCAGCCTCATCGTGGGGAACCTGACAAGGCGAGAACTGGCTCTTCCAAAAAAGATGAACTCCCCTCTACAAAGGGGAAAACTGAGACACCAGGAGGGAAAGGAAACTGCCCAAAGAAGAGAGATGAAGTGCGGGAGGGGTGGGCTCCGGCAAGTCCAGGGGAACACAAATCAGGAGGAATTCCCAGCTGAGCAAGTCCGGGGCAGGAAGAAAGCCACATTCCTTCCGAGTTACTCTGCTCACCCGCCCCTGGCCCCCCCCATCCAGCACGCACACACAGGGCCTGCCTGAGCCACCTTCCGATCACCGAGCCCCACTTTCCAGGAAAGGAGGGAGGCACAGTGTTCCCAAACCTCTACTTCCTCTCCTGTCCTGACCTCCGGGGATCAGCAACTTCTGTCCTGGCACAGACTGGCCGGTGCCATGACACAAACAGAAATGGGAAGATGCAGGTTTCTGATCACCGCTCCAGATGTGCCCCAAAGTTAGGCTCAAAAGGGGGTGCAAGCGTTCTCCCCACCCTTCTCCCCAGCCAGGTGGGCAGAACTGAAAGCCCTCAAAGTTTCCCAGATGGCCCCAAAGCAGCCGGAGGAGTCAGAGCCGGCAAGCAGGTGTGGTGGCCAGACCCACGGAAGTGCCCACTGTGGGCTCTCGGCCTGAGAAAAGCTACCCGGGTTAGTGACCCGCCGCAACACACAGGTCCCTTCAGGAAACGTCACAGCCTGCTCCCCTCAAACACTTTCTTTCCCCACTGATGTTCAGGGAGACAGGGTCACCTGGAGGGGGGACAGCTGTCAGTTTCTGCCCAATCCATCCCTTCCGAGAATCAACAGTGGGCCCAAACTGAGGGGTCAGCCGGAAAGCGTCACACACCCAGATGCAGACTCAGACTTCCGGACTCTCCAGGTGCCCCAACAGCAGTGCCCCCACCCTGTGGGCACCAGGACATTAAAGCAGCTTCCCAGGACACAGACACTGTCAGCCCATCTTCGCGTCCGAGTGCCCCCACCCGACACCGGCCCAGCACGACGCTGTCCCCGCCCCGCCAGGTGCACACGGACCCTGGCCAGGTGCTGGGCCGGACAGCAGGGGCCCGGCGCCCCCGGTGCCACCTCCGACGCCCCCGGGCCCGCGGTCACCGCCCGCCCGTGTCGCCCGGGTTCCGGAGGGGCGAGGTCGCCGCGCTCCGGACCCCAGCCCACACCAAGCCCACGGCCCCAGATCCCGAGCGGCCCCGGCCCGCGCTCGCCGGCCCGCGCCCCCCGCCATCCGTGCCTGCCACGCCGGACTCCACACCGCTCACCTGGCTGGCGCGGTAGCTCTCGAAGGCCTTCAGGGCACTGTCTGTGAGCTTCACATGGAACACGGACACTCTGCTGCCGTCGCTCACCCGCCCGCACGACAGCCCGTAGCTCCGAGTCTCCTTCAGCGCCGCCATCTTGCGACCATCGCTCCCCCGCCACCCGTCCGGGCTCCAGCGCCGGCGCGCCGGCCATACCCCGCCCACCGCCCGCCGACGCGCTGCATTATTCATCAGGTGCGGTTGGCCACTCCCCCGATCCCACGGAGCCAACGGCCGTTGCCGCATGCAGGGCGCGCGGTCGTGCTGCATTATTCATAACACATAGATGACCACGCCCTCTGCGTGCAGAAGAGGCACAAAGTCTCCGCCCCCAACTACTGTATATTCATAATTCGCAGGTGGCCCCACCTCTCCAGGCCCTAGAGGTGGCCACTTCCACGCTGTAACTCCGCCTCCCCACGCGCACGCCTCCAGGCCCCGCCTTATGTATAATTCCTCAGTTTCGAGGCCCCGCCCCACAGGCCTCTGACTTGATGCATTATTTATGAGATCTCCTTTGCCTTCCGTCTTTGGCTTCTGCAGACCAGCGGAGAGGGCGTGTGGGAGGCGGAGCTTGAGGCTGGCCTGACTGCTGGGCGGGGCCGTGTAAAAGAAGGCGCGCGTTGGACGGTGGGTTGGGCCACTGCGCCTTCCCTTAAGGTGGGCGGCCGGGATTCCGGGACGTGGAGCTGCGGGAAAGCTAGGAGGAGGAGGTGGATCCGGGAAACTTCCTAGGACCAGAGGAGACTTCCAAGAGGGTGAAACCCAGCTCCCCACAGGCCTCACCCGTGGTGGACTACAGAGCCCTTTTCCAGAAAACAACTTTATTAGCTCCGTGAGTTGTCTTTTTCTTTGAAACGAGGCTCCTCGCTATGTAGTCCAGGCTGGCCTCGAACTCGCGGGCAATCCTCCTTCTGCCTTCCCAGTGCTGGGATTACAGGCGTGGGCCACCACCCCCAGTTTAGCTACCTTTTGTTTTTATCTTATTTTTCTTCGCTGCTGGGGATGGAATCGAGGGCCTTTTGCTTTATGTTTTGGGGTTTGTTTGCTAACCCAGCACTTTGACCCTGAGCTATATAACCAGCCCTTTTTATCTTTTCATTTTGTGACAGGGTCTCCCTAAGTCACAAAGTGGCCAGGCTGGGCTCCAACTTGCCATCCTGCCTCAGCCTCCCACAGTGCTGGGATTGCTCGAGTGGCCACCACGCCCGGAGTTCGACCTTGTAATTCCTCGGCACTTAATACCTTCACAATGTTGTGTCCTTACTGCTCTAATTCCAGCATGCTTCCATTTCCCCAGAAGTGAATTCCGCGGGCTGCAGTCACTCACTCCCCATCCCCACCCCTAGCCCCTGGCTGCCACTAATCTACTTCTGGTCTTTGGATTCCCTTTCCTTTAATGTTATGTTTCCGAGGTTAGTTATCCTCATAGCAGGGATCAGTGCCTGGTTTTGTGTAGTTCCCCCCCCCCCTTTTTTTTTGAGACAGGTCTCACTATATAGCTCAGGCTGACGATCCTCCTGCCTCAGCGTCCAGAGTGCTAGGTGTGCACCGCTATGCCCAGCTCCCTTCTGTTTTCATGACAGAATAATATTCCACTATATGAAATGATCACGTTTTGTTTATCCACTCACCCATTAAACGTTTGAGTGGCTCCTTTCTTACTATGAGTGGCGCCTATGAACATGAATGCACATGGTATTGTTTTTGTTTTCAGTGCTGTTGATGGAAGCCAGAGCCTCGTGCCTTTTTTTTTTTTTGGTACCAAGGATTGAACTCAGGTCCTTGTGCTTGCAAGGCAGGTGGTGGAACCACTGAGCTAAATCCCCAGCCCCTAAGCAAGCACTCTTTCTGAGCTACACCCCAGCCCCTGTACAGAGTTTTCTGTAGACAGACACTTTCCCGTCTCGTCTCGTGGTTCTAAACCCAGGAATGGGACCACTGGGTCCTAGGCTAGACTGAACCTGTTGGGGAGGTGCTGGACTGTTTCAGCCGTCCCTCATGTTGCAAGTTCATGTGAAGCCAGAGCTAGGACCAGCCCGGGCCACTGACCAGGACCTTTCCAAGACCCCAGCTGCCCAACTGCTGGAAATCTTCGGGGTCCTTCTTGTCACCATAACCTAAGCCTAGGAAGCAGTCACTGCAGCTGCTCCCCTTAAGCACTGCTGGCTCCTAGCGCCTTTCTGGGAATTCCTAGCCTTACAGATGGAGACTGAGGCTGGGGGCAGGGACTGGCTGGAACTTGGGTCTTTCTCACCCCCTCATCCTGCACCCTGCCTCCCCCACAGGTCCCTTTTCAAGTCGTGTGTACCCTAAGCCCCTGGGTTCCACATTGTGGAACTCAACTAACCACAGGCTGAAACTGTTCAGCAGAAAACCATGGCTTCTGCCCTGGACACAAACAGGCTTTTTCCTGTCTCGATTCCCTAAGGAACATACCAGAACTGCTGGTTACACCCTGCACTCCCCGGGTGCTAGGTGTTAGCCATCACTAGAAAGGACGGCAAGTCTACAGCAGAGGGTTAGGCTGCAGCTTGGTGGTAGAGCACTGCTAAGCAGCCCCAGGCCCTGGGTTCCAGGCCCAGCATCAAAGAAGAAAATAAGCCAGGCATAGTGGTACACAAATGTAGTCCAGCTACTCAGGAGGCAGAAGGAGGAGAATCCCTTGAGTTCAAGAGTCTGAAAACATCCTGGGCCGCATAGCTAGATTCTGTCCCCTCCAAAAAATAATAGCTGGTGTGGTAGCACATGCCTGTATTCCTGGCACTCTGGGAGGCTGAGACAAGAGGATCACCAAGTTTGAGCCCAGCCTGCACAATCCTGCGGTTCAGGGTGTGCTGAGCGCACCCCACAGGAGCTCATTTCATGCTCCCAAGCAGCTGCCTCCTGGACGAAGAGCCAAGGTGTCAGGCCAGGCTGTCTCCACCAGGGCAGGAGCTCTGACCAGCTGCTTGGCCCACAGCCCACCCTGCCCAGTAGCCCCCCAGCCTGCCAGGCCAAGCAGACACTAGAGCAGGGGGTCCATGGGCCAGGAGGTCAGGGCGGGGACAGGAGCTGGGTCCTGGAGCCCTGCAAGGCTGGGAGGCAGCGACCCCGGTGCTGAGTGGAGGAGCATGTGGGAGGGGCCCAACTGCCAACTGCCAAGAGGAACTTCAAGAAAGACCTGCCCTCTCTGAACTTCTGGATTCACCTGGGAAACAGGTCACAGCCACAGCCTCCAGCCAGACTGGCTGGCATACAGCTGTAGTTGTAGCTGTTCCAGAGGCTGAGGTAACAGGAGTTCAAGGCCAGCCTGAACTACAGTGAGACCCTGTCTAAAGAGCCGAAAAGAAAAAAATAAAAGGTCACTCCGTTCTTTTTTGGTTTTAGGGTACTGAGGATAAAACCCAGGCCTTAACACTGAGGCACATCCACAGCTCCTTATTTTTTTGAGACCAGGTCTCACCAAGTCACTGAGTTGCCCAGGCTGGGCTCAGACTTTCACTCCTCCTGCCTCAGCCTCCTGAGTAGCTGAGATCACAAGGGCAGCTACTGCACCCATGTAAAGGACGCCCACACTGGGGGCAGAAGCAGAGTTGGGAGGTTCAGGCCAGCCTGGACAACATGGGGAAATCTTGTTTCAAAAACCACCAAGTAGGCTGGGGATGTAGCTCAGTGACACTGTGACACTGTGCCTGCCTGGCAAGCCCAAGGTCCTGAGTTCAAACCCCAGTACCGGAAAAAAAACAACAAAACACCAAGTGGGAAGGGTGCCGGGCACAGCCCAGCCAGCGGACAACACTGGCGACTGTCACGGCAGACTGGTGGGCAGTCATCACCCCAGGCACCCTGTGTGACCCGGGAGCCCCTTCCCCTCCTGCTCTGGAGACAGGCTGGCGGTGACGGACACAGGGGGACCCAAGGTCTCAGCTGTTAGCCCAGAGGCCGGCTCCACCCATCCAGGTGAGGGCAGGGAGACCCCAGTGGGACCCCCACGTCCCCAAGGGTCTGGCAGCTCCACTCTGCTGCAGGCCACCCTCATCACACGAGGGCAACCCTGACCCATCCCTGCAGTTGTTGAGGCCCCGATGCACAGCGCCGGGGTGCTTTCCTGGCCCCCAGCTTTTTCCTTTTGCAATGTTGGGGCTCAACCTGCGTACGGGGCTCACTCAGGCCAGGCAAGGGTCAACCTCAGCCTCGGTCTCGGCCCATGGGAGGCCCCATGTGCCCAGCGATGTGCCTGGACCCAGCCGCACCCAGGCAAAAGGAAGGAGACTCATCTTGCAGGGAGGGAGGCTTTATTTCACTGTGGGAAGTGGGCAGGGCAATAGGTAGGCGGGAGGGCAGGTGCTGGGCCAGGGCTGGGGGCAGGCCGCCCCCGGCTGTGGAAAAGAGAAACTGAGGCCTGACCCTGGGGACAGGGAGCCAGTCTGGAGGAGCAGCCCCCCAACCCCCTCGGTCCCTCCCTCCGGGCCACACCTCACCGCCCTCTGTGGGGCGGGGCCCGTCACTCCGTTCACCGTCCTTCCTGCCCCGCCCAGGGGGAGGGGCTAGGCCAGCGGGCAGTGGACAGGGAGCCTGGGGGAGGAGGGACGGGGTGGGGCCCATGGTGTGAGGAGGGGAGGCGGCCACCTGGGTGGTCAGTTCCTGGCAGCGATGACCACAGAGAGAGCCACACCCCCCAGGGCAACAGCAGTCGCCCCAAACAGCCACTTCCATGGGATGGACTGTGGACAGAGGGACGGGGGCACAGTCAGATGGCTTGAGGGGATGAAGACTGCCTCAGGGCCCTCAGCTCCCAACAGGATCCAAATAGGCTCCCTGTAGCATCACTGCCTGACCATGCCTTTCCCACTGGCCGAACTCCTACATACGTATCAAAGCCCAATTCAAATGCTCCCTCCCGTAGGACACCTTCCCCACTTCCCTGGCTCACCCAGGCGCCCTTGCTGGGACACTTGGCAGGCAGCCGGCTGGGGTTGCCCAGCATCTTCCGGTACAGGGCAGTCTCTGTGCTCCGCTGTGCCGCATGCTTCTTCACCAGCTTTGAGAGCTCGGCGTGAATTGTCTGCAGAGGGGGCAGAGGTTAGGAGACCCATCGGCTTCCTGGGGCCACGCGTATCCCAGCTTCCACTTGTGCCCATCCCCCAGGGGAGACGCAGACGCAGACGGGGCGGGCCTGAGATGCACGGGGACTGAGCCCATGCCAACGGCGTAGGGTGCCGCTCACCTTGTTGGAGGGCTCCAGCCTCAGTGCCGCCCGCAGGATAGGGATGGCCTCGCTGTACTCGCCCTGCTGCGCCAGCACCTGTGCAGGAGAAGCCCTGTCGCTGTGGACCCCGGCCACGCACGGCCCTCAGGAGGGGGTACCAAGGGTAAGAGGAGGAGTGTCTGTGGTCGGGAGCCCCAGCAGACAGCATCCCTGTAACACTGTGTGTGCCTGGATCCAGCTACCCGGAACCTGGCGGCTGCATGGACCAGGATCCCTCCTTTCTACCTGAACCCGTCTACTGGGCTTCTGTCACCTTCAGCCAGCAGGGGCCCCATGGCTCCGGCAGCCACCAGAAAGATTAACACTAGAATCCCTGCATTCTCTGCACACAACAGGAGCCCGATGGACAAAAGCTAAGGGCGGCCCTGCTCAGGCCTCTCATGAACACCTCAGGGGACGATGTCCATGCCTCAGTTTCTCTGGCCTAGGGCTAAAGGGTCTGCAAGCACTGCAGGTCTAGCTCAGGGACAAGCGCTTGCCTAGTATGCCTAAGGCCCTGGGTTCCTTCCCCAGCACTGAAGGAAAACAAGACAAGAGCCCTGAACCAGATCAGGGAAGGGCCCACGGCGGCATCCAGAGTGTGCGCATCTAGCCAGGGCCACAGCTGTGCAAAGGCCCTGAGGTGGCCGTTGCCCCAGAAGCAAGCCGGAGGGGCTGAGTGTGAGGAAGAGCAACAGGCAAGGGCACGGGGTAGAGGCAGGAAGGGGGTAGACGTCTCGGGAAGCCCTAGCGTCCACTGAGGGACACGGGAGCCATGGGGGGCTCTGTACAAGGAGCAGCTGCCAGCGAGCCAGAGGCGGGCACCCTGACCAGGTGGGCATCCCCACCTTGCCCTTGCGGAAGAGCGCCTTGATGTTGTCGGGCTGGTGCTCCAGCACCAGGCTGCAGGAGCGAAGGGCGGCGCGGTAGTGATCCAGCTTGAGCTGTGAGGCGGCCAGGTTGTTGAGACACTTGACCTTCAGCTGCAGCAGCTGCTCCTCCTCCTCGAAGGTCATGTCCACTGCAGGGCACAGCGGTCACCAGGGCCACCCGCACCACCCTGCCCCGCCCGGGGCCCCCCGTGCTGCCCGCAGTCACCGTCCCCACCGGCCCGGGGGACACTGGGCTCTGGGGGCTGGGAGGGAGGTGGGGCGCAGTCACCTTTGGCGCTGGAGGTGATGGCCTTGATGGCCAGGTCGTAGGAGTTGGCGGCCAGCACGAAGTCCGCCCGCTGGTAGTGGGCGTTGCCACACTCACGCTTCCGGTTGGCCAGAGCCACGCGCTCCTGGCCAGTGAGCAGCTCCAGGTTGGGCCCGTCCACTGCCGTCTTCAGGGTCACCTCCAGGCACAGTGCCGCGTGTGGGGGGATGTAGGGGCTCCTGCTGGGGGTCAGGCGGGCGCCACTCAGGGCCGGCAGCCCCAGACCACAGCCATGAGCCCCGGTGTGTCCCCAACGTCACCCCGCAGTCCCACACCACACCTGGGAAGCTGCTCTGTCCCCTTGCGTGAGGGCCTGGGCCAGCGGCCTCCCCCCCAGCCTCAGTTCCACCCACGTGCTCCGAGGCAGAGGGAACCTGGGAGGGACATGGGTTCTGTGCGGCACTCACCTGCCCTGCGGGCCATAGCAATACTTGGAGTCGGCAGTGACCATGGCCGTCTCACCCACATCCATGAGGGGGGCGCTGAGGTCCAGGGCCTGGGGGCAGGGCCGGCGGGGGTGGGTCAGGTATGCCCAGGTCCCCAGCGTCCCCACCCCCGGTGCTGCCACCTGGCCCCACCTGGATGACATCGCAGTCCCCCAGGGTGAAGGCCAGCTCGGGCTCCTCCTGCACCCGCGTGCCGTTCTCCAGGGACATCTGCAGCTGCACCGTCACCACCTGGCCCTTGGTGGGGCGGCCCGAGCCGGGCAGGCCCGGCATCAGCGTCTTCTTCCTCAGCAGCCCGTTCCCTGCCAGGGTAGGGAGGGGCCAGTCGGCAGGAGGGGTGAAACGGGGTGGGATGCTCCCCACCCCAGCCACTCTCATCCTGAGGCCAAGCTGAGCTTCCAGTGGGTGCCAGGCGCCATGGAACCGGACTGGCGCTGTTTTCCCTGTGTGCGTCAGAGTGTGTATCCGCGTGCGTATCCACGTGTGCACGTCCATGTCTGTACACACACATGTGGTGCTGGGCACAAACCGAGGGCCTCATGCACGCCCGGCAAGTCTCACCTCTGAGCCACACCCCAGCCCTGATGGGGCAGCTTTGGGGTGACGATGCTGGCACGTGTTAACAACAGCTGCTCTAGGTGTGCACGGTGGCGCACACCTGTGACCCCTACACTCGGGGAGGCTGAGGCAGGAGGATCACAAGTTCTAACCCAGCCTGGGCAATTTACCTACTTAGACCCTGTCTCAAAATTAAAAATTAAAAATGGACTGGGGAATGTTAGCTTTGTGCCAAAGCTCTAGATTCAATTCCCAGTATCACAAAAAACAGAGAGAGACACCTTCTTCCAGTTCAAATGCCAGCCCTGGGACCCTGGGCCTCAGTTTACCCAGGCATGAAATGGGGCAATCACGTGGTCTGCTCAAAGCACACACAGTTTTGCTGGGTTCACAGAGCACCGGCTGCACTGGCCATGGCACAGCCCTGCGTGTCCTGGATTTAAACGCACAACAGAGCCCAGGCCATGCCAATGGCCGCAATCCACAAGGGCTACCTCCATCCTTGCACAGCCATCAAACTGGGGTGCCCTCCATGCCTGGCAGTCAGGATAGGCCAACACCAACGGCACATCAAGCCCGGGGCACTCACGTGCCCCAAAATAACGTCCACCCTCGCCTCACAATGGCCGAGCTCGTTGACATGTGACAGCCCAGGAACGAGGCAGAGCAGGCAGGCGACCGGCCGTGGGACACACAGCCCACACCTTCCTCAGGGCTCTCCATAGGCTGCCACAGGACAGAGCCTGGGGGACAACAGAGTGACAGGACCTGTGGTCATCCATGTCCCAACACATCCCTGCACTCTGGCACATTCCATAGGCCTAGAACATTTCGAAGGAGCCGATCCTAGCCTAGAGCTTAGACACGGACCAACACAGCCATCCTAATTCTAGAACATTTTGGCATATGCTCGAAAATTCTAGAACATTATAAATTTTCATGCTGTTCCCCCACTTGGATGTGGCCAGCATCCAGTCTGGGAACCACTGGGCTGGGGGACCTCAGCAGATCCCTGGGTCTTAAAGTCCTTGGACACTAACAATGGCCGTGCTGGAAGGGAGGGTCAGCGGCCTCTATCTCCTCCAACCAGCGAATCTGGGCAAACCATGTCCCCTCAAGCCCTCCGTTCCCTTGTCTGGAGACCGGAAGAAGCCTCAGTCCTTCATTTAGTTTTGCTCTTCAACAGTGCTGGGGTTGGAATTCAGGCCCTCACATACTCAAGGAGAGCCCTCAGCCACCGACCACACCCCCACCCAGAAGCCCAATCAGACCTGAGGGCAGCTTGTGCAAATAGCCAGCATCAGCACACCACCAGGGGGTGAGCGGCTTTCACACGGACCAGTGAAACAGTTTCCAATCTCCCCACAGCCAAGGAGGCTGTGTGACCTTGGGCAGGTAGGTCCCAAGGCCTCTCTGGGCCCATTCTCCCCTCTGTACCACAGGGTAGGTACTGCCACAGGGCTGTCGGAAGAATAAAAAAAGATGCTGCATGGGCCTGGTGCAGAATCAGCGCTCAGCAATTACCTGGTGTTATTTTTAGGAGTGACTGTTTTATTAGTAGTTGTAGTGCCATTAATAGCACCTTTTTTGTGTATGGTAGAGGGGATTAAACTCAGAGCTTTCACACTGAGCTACAACCCCAACCCCTTTTTATTTTTATTTTAATTTTGAGTCAGGGTCTTACGAAGTTGCCCAGCCTGGCCTTCAGCTTTCGATCCTCCTGCCTCACGCCCCCCACCCCCACCCCATAGCTGGGATAGAAGGCCTGTACCATCACACCAGGCCAGTTACGGGTCTCCTTCTTGCAGACTTTTCTGCACATTTAGAACAAGAATGAAGGGCTGGCATGTAGCTCAGTGGCAGAGTGCTCCCCTAGCATGCATAAGGCCTTGGGTTTGTTCCCCAACACTGCCAAAAAAATGTAAACCTTCTCCCCCAAACTTAATTACTGATAGCATGTTACAGTTGTAAAGCTGCTCAGGAACAGTAGGAAGCACGAGAACCAGCCAGAGGGAGGAACAAAACTGGACCTCCCAGGTCTGTGACGTCGGACATGCTTGTCAGGGGAGCTGCGCCTGTCAAGACAGGGCGGTGCCACACTGCAGGCTGACTGTGCCGCTCTGGGTGGGTGACTCAGCCTCTCTGGGCTGCTCTTAACCACTTTGGGAAAGGCAGCACATATGTGTGTATGTGTACGCACGCAGGCGTACGTGTGCGCATGAATGGACTTCACCATCTGGCCAGCGGTCACTGTGCCCAAGGCCTCCAACCCAAACAGCACAGCCAGGAAACGCGCCCAGGGACAAGAGGCCAGGCCAAGGTCACACTGGGCCCCCAGCCACCTTGCTGCTTACCCAGAATGTCCAGCCACTCTTCGGGGGCAGGAGTTGGCACAGCCGCGGGCTCCACAGAGCCCAGGAACTCTCGGGCCAGTGCCCCAGGCTGCTCGGCCTCCTCCGCTGGGGACTGTCCCATATCCTCAAGTGGTGGCAGCTCACTGAGGTCATCATCATCCTCTTCCTCCTCCTCTTCCTCAGCATCTGCGTCCTCAAGCCCGTCCAGCACCTCAAAATCCTCCAGTGGGGGAACCCCAGCAGGCAGTGGGGCGGCAGGCTCAGAGGGCTCCTCAGCACACGATGCCATGCTGCTGGGGGACGGGAACTGGCCCTAAGGGACAGATAGGGGTGAGAGTCCCAAGTCGCCCTGAAGTCCTCTCTGCAACCTTCCCTGTGCTGCTGATGTGACCCCAGAGCTCTGGGCCTCAGTTTCCTCATCTGTACAATGGGCCTCATCACAAGCCCGGCTTGCTGAAAAAATTCAAGGACTCAGGCATCAAGCTCAGATGGTGTTAGCTATTATTAGCGCTAATTACCATTTAATCATCCCAGGCACCCAGGGAGGTGGGGAAACCTCCCCTCTACATTCTAGAAAAAAGAAATCAAGGCCCAGAGAGGCAGCGCCATTTCCCCAAGGTCACAGAGCAAGCCAAAAAAAAAGCAGGAGCAGGACTGAAACCCAGGGTTCCAGAGCCTGGGGCTTCATCTGCTTAAATAACAAGAAAAGGCTGCTGGGATGCATTTGGGGGGGGGCAGCCCCTGAGGCCTTGGGGAAGCCATTTTTACAGCCTCTGGGCTACCTGGGACTGAGATCCGAACGGGGCCTTTCCCTGTCTGGTCTCCCAGTGCGAACTACCTCCCCCCACGGGCCGGCAGAAGCCCCAGGCACCCCAAGCCCGCAGCCTTTCTCCAAGTGGGGGAGCGCTATGGGCCTCTTCCCTGCCCCAGGCCTGCGAGGAGCCTCCAGTCTTCGGCTTTCCCATCACAAACCCAAGCCAGGCCCCAAACTCAGGGGGGCCACGGCCTGCACCTCGACCCACAGCGCCCCTCCTCTGCTAGCCTCACCTGCGGGCTCCTTCCGGGCTCCCCACCCCCACAATCCCCTGCGCCGCACTCCTCTGGCTCCCACCCACCCACCGCGCCCCCACTCGGGCCCGCGCCCCCGGCCGCGCGGTCGCCCCGTGAACGCCAACTGCCCCGCCGCCTCCCCTCAGATCCCGTCACCCTGACGTCCCCACCCGGGCCGGAGACCCCCACCCTGGTTTGCAGCACCCGACGCAAGTCCGACGCCATCAGCCCGAGCCAGGACCCCGCACCCTGGGTCGCCCCCGGCCCGCGCAGCACAGCCAACGACCCCGCGGGGTCAACGCCGCGCCCCCCGACCCAGCTCAGCTCCCCCGGTCCCCCCGCCCCGCCCATCGCCACTGCCTCCGCCTCGCCAGCCCCAGCCTGCCTAGGCCTGGGGCGCCCCCGCTGCGCGCCCCGCCGACGCCCTGGGACACGTGCCTCGGCTCCGGGACCCCCGCCTGGGGTCCTGCGCCCCCTCCCCGCCCCCAGCCGCGGCCTCCGCGCCTCGGGAACCAGCTCCTGGCGCCCGGCCCCGCCTCCGCCGCTCCCATTGGCGGCCGCCGCCGCGATGATCACACCCATTGGCTCTCACGCACGTCCGTCCCATGCCCAGGCACCTCCCCCTTCCTGCTTGGCTCCGCGGGACATTCTTAAAGGGGCCGAAGTCTCGGGAACACGGCGGGGGGCGGGAGACGGGGGAGCGTGCTGGATCTGGAAAGCGGGGTTCGCTGCGCAGCCAGCTTCCAGTGCCGCCTGCTGCGGGGTGCGCCTCATCCTGCTCATCAGAGAAATGGGGATATGCACCCCCTCTTAGCTTGGGGTCCGGTGGGAGGACTGTGCCACCTCCTGTTGCCCTCGGCGGCTTGGATTGAGGGACAGGGCAGCTCTGGATGGCGCTATGACCACTCCGAAGTCCTTGCAAAGAAGTGGCGGAGGCGAACCCACCCCCCTCCTGCTCCTGTTCCAGGAAGGTTACCGGGTGCATACAGCAGGCGCTCAAAAACAGCGGACTGGGCTACAGAGCGATCAGGCCGCTGGGAACGCTCGCTCCTCCCGCACCGCCTGCCCAAGAGCGATAAGGCACTGGCCCGGGGAAGATGGCACCCTCCATTACGGCGGCCTTTATGGGGCTTCTTTTGAAACAAGACTGTTCTGTCTCAGCTCCTTCCTAACCCTAACCCTTCCTGGACGATATTGTTCTTTTCCTTTGCCCTCCCCCCATACTCTGCATTATCCTGGCAGAGATTTTATTTTATTTTACTTTTTATTTTCAGACAGGGTCTTCCTAAATTGCAAAGTTCCCCAGGCTGGGTTCGACCTTGCCATCCTCCTGCCTCAGCCTCCCGGAGTTCAGAGATCACAGGCAGGCGCCACCCTACCCCCCTTGAACTTCAGAGTGTTTATCTGCACAGTAAGGTTGCTTACCCATCACCCGGCACCTGTTGCAGGGTGGCTGGAGGACCTGGAGTAAACAAAACTAATGAATAAGAAAGCAATAAACTAAAATACACAAATATAAATGCCACCACCAATAACAATAATGGCTGGGCTGGGGTGCGGCTCGGTGTCAGAGTCCTTCCCTGTCACATGGGAGCCCTGGTTCCATCCAACACCCCCAAAAAGGATAAGTAAATAAAATAACTATCATGGCAGACCCTCATGAACCTGCTACTGTGCAGGCAGGCTCGTGGTACGTGTTTGGCTCTTCCTCGTGAGACAAATACGCTGGTATCTGGGGCCGACAGCACCTGCTGCATACAGTTCTGCAGAAATGAAACTTCTGTTGTTAGGACGCACCTGCCTTTATCTCTGTGTCCCTGGCCTTCAAGTGGACTTTGATTATTATTGGATAGCATACACTGATTCTCTTTAGGTCATCTTTCTTTCTTCCTTTTTTTTTTTTTTTTTTTGCGGTACCAGGGATCAAACTCAGGACCTTGTGCTTGTGAGGCAGGAGCGGTGCCACTCAGCTAAATCCCCAGACCCTGCTCACGTGCTCTCTGTCTCTCTCTTTCTCTCCTTTCATTTTTTCAATACTAAGGATTTTTTTTTTTTGGTACTGGAGATCGAACTCAGGACCTTGTGCTTGCGAGTCAGGCACCGGAACCACTGAGCTAAATCCCCGGCCCTTGAATACTAAGAATTGAACTCAGGGCCTTCCCACAGAGCTACATCCCCAGCCCTTTTAAAATTTTTTTATTTTGAGACAGGATCTTGCTAAAAGGCTCTGGCTGGGCTCAAACACAAGATCCTCTTGCCTCAGCCTCCCTTTGTGTTGGATTCCAGGCGTGCTCTACCACACCCAACTGAAGCTTTCTATCCTCCCCCACCATCAAACTCAGGACCTTGCACTTAGGAGGCAGGCGTGGTGCCACTGGACCTTGTCTTTGTCTTTTGCCTGGGGTATTTGGTCTGTTATTTATTTTTTTATTCATTAAGTTTATTTATATTTTGAAACAGGGTCTTCCTAAGTCTCTAAATTACCCAGGCTTGGGCCGGGGATTTAGCTCAGTGTTTTCACCACCTGTTGTTCGAGCCCAGAGACCCGAGTTTGATCCCCGGTACCAAAAATACATAAATAAATTGCCCAGGCTGGACTCAGACTTGCAGTCCTCCTGCCTCAGCTCCAAAGGTGCTGGGGTCACAGGTGTGCGTAACTGGGGCCAGTTTTCTTCTTGGCTTCTTTTGGATTGGATGGGCTTGGTAAAACTTTAGTCTGTATGTTTGTGTGGGGCTGCTAGGGGCCACGCAGACCTCAAGCATGCTGGGCAGGCACTCCAAGTGATCCTCCTGCCTCAGCCTTGGGAGTAGCCTGGACTACAGGTGGCCACCAGCAAGCCCAGCTTTCGTCTTCTAGATAAGGAAAAATTAATGGGTTCAAGGTCTCCGTGATGAAGGGCAGGATGGGCCGGGTCCCTTCCCCCACTGAGTTTCGCCTCCAGCTAAGGAGATGGATTCTGTACCAAGAGTGACTCAGATAAGCACTTTGCTGCAAGTGTGATCAGTCCCAGGGAAGAAACCAAACTGGAAAAGTGGGCAGGGAAGCTGGGTGTGTGGTGTTGCACGCCTGTGATCCCAGCACTCTGGGAGGCTGAGGCAGGAGGGTCATGAACTTGAGCTCAGCCTAGACAATTTATGGCGATCGTGTCTCTAAATAAAAAATAGAAAGGCCTGGGGTGCAGCTCAGTGTCAGGGCCCAGCAGTGAGGGGCCGGCAAAGGCTCCCCATCCCATTCCCTGGGCCTTCTCTCGCCCCTGAGCTCCCTGCCCCTGGGCAGACCCAGTGTCCCGACGCCTTCCTACCCTCTGCTTGAACACAGAGAAAGAAACTGTTCTCTGCTGTTGACTGTGCACAAAGCACTTGGGACAGCTGGGTCCCTTTGGGCCTCAGCCCCAAGTGCCCACCATTCTAGGCCCTGGTAAGGTTCCGGCCTCCCGAAGTGCCCAAGGACCCATACTCGGCCAGGGTGCCCAGCTGCACACAGTGGCCCCCACCCCAGCCCTTGCTCTTGATTCCTGCAGCGGTCAAGGCCACACTGTGTGCTTCCCTGTCATAAGCCTTTACTCCTGCCATTCTCCCAGCAAACTCCTAGTCCTACCTCAAAACCCCTCCCAGATATTCCTTGCAATTTCTTTACACTCAACAAGAACCCCATCATAACACCACTCTGCAGCTTCTTCCAGCCTTGATTTCCTTCCCCTTTCTGCCAAGTGCTGATGCCCACGGGTTTAGGCTTGCTTGCTTGCTTTCTCTTTTTCTCTCTCACTCTTTCTCAGTACTGGATATAACTCAGAGACTCTCTACCACTGAACTACACTTCCAGCTTTTTTTCTTTATTTATTGTTTTTGAGACAGGGTCTCACTCCGTAGCCCAGGCTGGCCTTGAACTCCTGGTGATCCTCCTGCCTCAGCCTCTCCAGTCCTGGGATGACAGGCGTGCACTACCACTCGAAGCCCAGCTTTCTTATTCCTGAGGCTGAAGGAATAGGGGAGCACAGAGAGGTTAAGTAACCAAGGTAACCCAGCAGCACTCCCAAGCTGGGACACAGCCCGAGTTTCCTGAGCAACCACAGTGTGTGACGATGTCAGACTCTGTCCCAGGCACTGAGAAATTGGTGACAACCAGGAGATGGGTGTGATGTCACCAGCTCCAAGTGTGGGGAACAGATACAGCAGGATCAAGAGAGTCTGAGCCAGGTGTGGAGGTGCACACCTGTAATAACAGCACTCAGGAGGCTAAGGCAGGAGGATCACAAGTTCAAGCACAGTTTGGGCAATTTAGCAAGACTCCATCTCAAAATAAAAAATAAAGCCAGGCATGGTGGTGCACACCTGTTATTCCAGCCTTGTAATTCCAGCACTGGAGAGACTGAGGCAGGAGGATTCCCATGAGTTCAAGGCCAGTCTGGGCTACATAGTGAGTTCAAGGCCATCCTGAACTACATAGGGAGACCTTGTCTCACAAAAAACAAAAATTAGGGCCGGGGATTTAGCTCAGTGGTTTCGCCGCCTGCTGCGCAAGCGCAAGGACCCGAGTTCGATCCCTTGTACCCAAACAAAACAAAAACAAAACAAACAAAAAACAAAAATTAAACCAGCCAGGGCCTGGGATTTAGCTCAGTGGTGCTGCCACCTGCCTCACAAGTGCAAGGTCCTGAGTTAGATCCCCGGTACCAAAAAAAAAAAATTAAACCAGGCGTGGTTGGGCACACCTGTGATCCCAGCACTGGGAAGGCTGAGGCAGGAGGATCGCCACAAATTTGAGGCCAGCCTAAGCTACTTAGAAGGCCAGCTTGAACTGCTTAGTGAGACACTGTCAAAAAATAAATAAAAATTTATAAAAACTCTAAATTATTAATTTTTTTTAAAAGGACTGGGACCCCAGGGATTTAGCTCAGTGGTTCTGCCGCCTGCCTCCCAAGTGCAAGGTCCCGAGTTTGATCCCCAGTACCAAAATAAATAAATAAAATTTAAAAAGGCTGGGGACAGAGCTCAGTGCAAAGGCCACATCCTGGTTCACTGCTCCCTCTGCCCAACGCTGCTTGGCCAGCAAGGTAGTACCCAGTGCTGTTGCCTGCAGAGCAGCTGATGGTGGATGCACCTGCACTCGGCTGGACGGAGATGTTGCCCATCCTCCTGGCCTTCTGTCCCCTGGCCCAGCTGAACCCTCAGTCTTGGCCGGTACTGAAACCCAGCTCCCCAGAAGGCATCTGAGCCTGGCCCACTCAGGTCTCCACACCTCGGGGGACTCCCCACCCTGCACCCCGGCTACGGCTGACGCTGGGCCCCGTGCCTGGGTGGAAGGCAGACGGGGATGGGGTCTCGGGGCCTGGTATGGGCCTGTCCTTCCGGGAAGGGACACGCAGTGCCCGAAGGGCCTCCAGAGGGGCGGGAAATCGACGTCAGTCCGAAAGCCATGTTGGTGGATTTTGTTAGCTGTCCTCGAAGATGAGACCCCCCAATGACAACGGTCCTTTGTGACAGCCACATGAAGCCAGCGGACCAGGGCGGACCAGAGCTGTCCCCTGCCTGGGTTAGGACC